TACCAACAACAAAGGATTCAGTATCAGTACGTAGATCTACGTTTTTATGGTATTTTGAGATATTTGGCATTATCATGCAATAGGTAAGTATAGAAGGTTCTCACAGGAGTCTCTGATATACTTCACACCAAACACCTTACATTCCATTTTACTCCTGTATAAGGTACCTGGGGCAAATAAGGCCCAGGAGGTAATACGGCCCTCATTTAAAAATTCGCGCTAAAATAATTTGATGATACGTCACTCTTCATGACGCACACATGCGATTGATTTAGTTAAGAGAAGTCCAATTTAGTTTTAGTCGAAGACAGAGAAGTCCCATGTATTGTTTTTATACGATTTAGGCTTTATTTTTTTTAATAAAAAAAAGTAGTCGCGTTTATTTTTTTGTTATCGGAAGAGAAGTTTTCATTTTTTTAAAAGATGTTTGGTTTACCTAATTTGCTTTAGAGAGTACTTAACTAAACTTTTTGAGTAGACTTTTCACCATTTCACCTCCCCATGGGTTAAAAGACCTATGTTGATTATTAAGGGAAATGTGTAATAAAAGTTTTATATACAGGGTGTTTTCACTTTAAATTTGGAAAATGCAGGAATGTATTCCCTATCCAAAATTAAGTGTAGTTTGCTCTATAAATTTTTTTTATGAAAGCCTTTGTTTTGGAGATACAGGGCGTTGAAGTTAAAAAAAAATAAACACTTTTTGACATATCTCGGCTATCCACGAGTAGATTTGATTCAAACTTGGTACACATTTTGCGTATTGGGGGTTCTCATAATTAACAGAATATTAGTCCTATCGGATTAGCCAGTGGCGTGCAAAGGTAGGGATGCGTGGCACCTTTTTCAAAAAAAAGTACGCCATTGAGTTTTTCGAAGAATGTAAAGTAAATTTAAATACTACCATANAAACTTCCAGAACCTCTATAACCATACTTAGTATGTATCGAATATTTTTACATCATTCTTCAATACACAGTGTGTGCCAATTAACATTACCGCTCCCAATATCTCCGAAATGAAGATATTTATTTTAGTTCCGGAAATTGGGGTTGTCAGGTCCCTCGAATAGCTTCAAATTGCAGTTAGAATTGTTATTTCAAATCTTTCTGTATAGATGGCGTAGCGATACTAAAAAAAAATTTGATTCCTGGAACGTGGAAATGCGGTCCTTCTGAAAGATCGTTAAATTTTGAGTAATTTTTGTTATATTAAGTTTTTCCCACTATATACTTGTTTGAGAAACATGTCGACATCAATATGCAAAGTATGATGTAAATTTATTATTTTATTTAAATCACACTGAGACAAAATATTCTTTTAAAATATTGTTGTAGTGGCTTTATTCACACCACATACTAACTAACAAACAATAAATTGTAAAAAAAACAAATGACCAACAACAGAAAAAAAAATTGTACACTGGTAAATTTTATAACTAGTTATAGTTAAATTGAAAGACGCAGGCTAATAAAACTGTTATTATTGGAAATCTAATATGTGTCATCTGTCATACATGTTTTATTTTAAACAAATGACATGAGCCACCTATGACAGAAATTTTTAATAATATTTGATAAAATACGGTTCGTCTCTGCCCCTTATAAGATTTACATTTTTTTTTGTAGTTGATCGTTTGGTTTTTTATAATTTATTTGTTAGTTGTGGTGTGAATAAAGTCATTATAACAATATTTTAAAAGAATATTTTGTCTCAGTGTGATTTAAATAAAATAATGGATTTTCCTGTTACGTACAATCACACATTGCATATTGATATCGACATGTCTCGAAAACAAGTAAATAATGGGAAAAACTTAATATAACAAAAATTACCAAAAATTTAACGATTTTTCAGATAGAACGCATTTCCACGTTCCAGGAATCAAACATTTTTTAGTATCGCCACGCCATATACAGGGTGAGTCAAAATTCACTCCCCAGCGGCCGGATATATATTCTAAAATAAAAAATAAAACAAAAATGTAGAATAATAAAATCTCGAAAGCGGAGCCGTTTTCGAATAAATTTTAGTTCAATAAATGCGCAGTTTTCGAGTGACTAATCAAGTTGGCCGGACAAAAACTGAATGGTGAAAATTACAGTAATTTTTGCGAGAACATTTTGCCAGGTTTGTTAGAAAATATTCCTCTACAACGACGTGCAACTATGTGGTTTCAGCATGATGGTGCGCCCGCACATACCACATTACAAGTAGGTACGACATATTTTGAACCGCCGTTTTCCTAATAAACGGATTGGACGAGGTGGACCAACACCATGGCCACCCCAGTCTCGGACTGACTTGACTCCGATAGACTTTTGGTTATGGGAATACAGAAAAGAAAAGGTTTATGTTACTGTGCCTGTTGACGGGGATGATGTTATTGGCAGGATTCATGAAGCAGTAGCGGAAATAAATGAAGCTAATTTCTGTTCTGTTGCCAGGAGTTACGGAAATAAAATAAATATCTTCGTTCGGAGTTGTTTCCCTCAATATCAGCGGTTTGCAATCTTGTCTGTGAGGTTTGATTCTTTTGCATACCTAAATTTGTCGTATCGAAGAATGTTGTTTGATTTCATTTGATACGATTTGTTTGAATTGGGTTAATACCTTAATTTATTAACTTATTACTTTAGAGTGATAGGATACCTTAATAAACAGTAAAAAGATGTAAGAGCTAATAATAAAACATGTTTTTATGAAAAAAACTTAGTAAGAAAGGGCAATTAAGAAATATATTTTAGATAGAAAGATAATTACTTAAAATCTATATAGTCGTGTAAATAGAGGGATGAAGGGTGAGGGGGGGGGGAAGCAGATAGAGGGGGGGTAATCCAAATAACCAAGTTGAATATGTATGACACACGTTCCCAGATAATTAAACATCATAACGTAAATTCTACGAATACCAACAACAAAGGATTCAGTATCAGTACGTAGATCTACGTTTTTATGGTATTTTGAGATATTTGGCATTATCATGCAATAGGTAAGTATAGAAGGTTCTCACCGGAGTCTCTGATATACTTCACACCAAACACCTTACATTCCATTTTACTCCTGTATAAGGTACCTGGGGCAAATAAGGCCCAGGAGGTAATACGGCCCTCATTTAAAAATTCGCGCTAAAATAATTTGATGATACGTCACTCTTCATGACGCACACATGCGATTGATTTAGTTAAGAGAAGTCCAATTTAGTTTTAGTCGAAGACAGAGAAGTCCCATGTATTGTTTTTATACGATTTAGGCTTTATTTTTTTTAATAAAAAAAAGTAGTCGCGTTTATTTTTTTGTTAGCGAAAGAGAAGTTTTCATTTTTTTAATATTATTAATGGAAATGTGCAATAACTTTACATTTCTTTTTTTCTAATTTAAGGATGTTTTTAAGGAGTCATTGTGAAGATAAGTTGCGAAAAACTTCAAGTTCACAAAAGGTCCTGATTTTCTGATATTTATAATCGGATCAAAGGCTTGTTTACGCTATGAGAGCTCTAGATAGACTGAATTATAGATGTAATGTTTTTAGGACGTAGAAATAATTTAGGCTACGGTCAGAATTATGTTTCTGCGCATATGAAGGTCAAAACTCATAAGATTTTGAAACAACTCTACCTAGGTACTTCACTTGGGTTTTCCTTGCAAGAACAGGAATAATTTGCATTATACCTACTTGGTTCGAATTAAACCGTTTAAGTGCCTTTTCACACCAGCATCAGCGTATTAGTAAAGTACGAACATTTTGCACGTGTTTTGACATTAATTCGACGAAAATACCCAAGTGTGAAAAGGTACTTAACTCCGTTAATACTACAAAAATATCATACTCTGTTAAATATAGGGTGGCTTAATTATAATAAAGTTGCTTATATTATTTGGAGTTTAATTAATCGTCTCTAGCCGCTTAAGTATCATTCATTAATTTTAAAATTCATAAAAACATGATTAAATTAGAGAAGTCCCTATAGTATTTCTTAAATTTTATGAGTTTTTGTGTCTATATCACACATTTATTAAACATAAAAATTACGTCGCCTATGATCTACTGTGGTAATTCTCCGCTTTCCTAAACACATTTAGAAACAAGTAAACAACTCAGAAAATAATCCTATTAAATTATAGTTTTTGGCTCTTTGATTTATATGTTTTACGTTTGACTTTACATTTAATTACTTTTCGTCTTCAAATACCTGAAAATTCGTAAATAATATAAAAGTATAGTTCCTATACTTTTCAAGTGGTTTACTGGTTATTGTTTGTATATATACCAAGTGACCCAAGAAAAAATTTTCAATTTAATTATATTGGGGGCTACTACCTATACGTTTCTTCTACTTGAATATATTATTATNAGTTTTGCTTATTGTGAATAACAGATTTAAATGTGTCTCGGAAGTAGAGCCAATCATGCAAAGAACCATCAAAAGTCGGTAAATTTACTTCAGGTAATTTAATGTCAAGATTTTGATCACTTGGATTGCAGTTATTTTGCATAACTGGATGATTATTATTGGAATTGAAAATACGAGATTCTTGTGTGGCACTAGCATTCTGTAGCAAATTTGGGCCATTATTTAAACTTTGTTGTGAACAAATACTTTCATTTGACGAAAGTGACTCAATAGATTCGCGAGAACGCAATATAATATTTTTAGCTGTACTAATTAACCTATAATAATTTTCTTCGAAGTTTTCACGCTCATCTGATTGAATAACAACTTCATCGTCGCCAGCAATTAACGTTTCAATTTCGAATTGAATATTATTGAATTCCTCTAACAAAGGAGATATGCTTTCCATACGCGTTTTTAAAACGACATAATCAGTATTTTTCTCGGCTACAAACTTGCTTAGGAAGGTATCAAATCGAGTTATTGCGGATCGAATAACCGCCCGTTTTGCCTTATATGTTTTTAATTGATCGGCCATATTTAATATTCTAGCACAAATAAATAAATGGATATGAAATAGAAAAGAATGATATGGAACGCACCCACCTCTACTATAGCTCTCCACTGGTGCTGGGCCGCTCTTCTGGGATCAAGTGTTTGTTTGTTCGATGCAGGTGGACAAATTTCACGCCGCTTCCCTGCCTCAGCTAATTCGCTCAAAGTTAAAATTCTTGATCGCTGGTGATAATCACGCTCTGAAGGACCATATGTTGATTTGTTTAAGCACTTTTGAATGTTTTATTTTATAGTTTATTTAGTAAAATAACAAATATTTCAATAACGTACAATACGTGTGTATACTATGACATATGAAGCCAGTCTGCCAGGACCGTCACATGGCGGGGTAGCCAACCACACTAGGTGGGGGCGCTGCCGGTGCTGCCAACCTTGTAGGTCAAATATTCAAAAAAAAAGAAACGGTGCAACAATAGGTCATCAAAGGGAATTAAAATTTCTCTAAAACAATTAGATAACTTAAAAGGTTCTTATCTCATCTACGATATTAATACAAACACGTTGAATTTGTAAAATATGTATGTGTCCTTTGCATGAAAAATTTACCTGGTTTGGCGTTTCTGTGAGAAATTTCTAATTCTCAAAATAATCCAGGTACAAATATTTCCAGTCCACCCAGTATAATTTTAATTTAGTCATAGAGGCGTTTTCAATAGAAAAATAACTTATAATACCAAAAATGATCCAAAATGAGATACTTCCATGAACTGTTCGTATATTTCACAAAAATAAAGTGTCACACACAGGTAGCACAAACACTATTTCAAATCTAAGGTCACTTGACTTCTTTAAATATCGACACTCAACGGATGTTCTACCAACCCAGTGGCTCAAAAAATCTCAAACTTGATCGAGGATCACTGAGAAATTCGAACGAGAAACAAAATCTCAAACAGGTAAGCGGTACCTCGTGATCGAGATTGGAGATTGATAATAATAATTGTTGTATTCCCCTGTTCGCAGTTCATGCAAACTTTGACATTGAATGGTTGGTTGTTTCCTTTCACTGCGCTGCTGTAGTGCATTGGCGCCCGCCAAGGAAAATACAAAATGTTTTGGGAAGTTATTAAGCTTAACGTTTGCTTATTTTTATGTAAATTTGTGAACGCCATATTTCTCTAGGAAAAAATGGTATAGGTTTATGAAATTTTCTGCGTTCTCAAAGAAACATAATATAAAAAACAATTGAATGTCACATTTTGGAGATATAAGGCAAACTTTGTTTTTTAAAATGAAACGCCCTCTATTTATTTTGTTGTTTTCTGACATTTTGACATTAATATATTTCCTTTGATAGTTTTCACAATATTTTGGTTTATTTACTGATCCTGCACACAGTTTTAACACTGCCAAGGAACTGCTGTTTCCGCTGTTAAATTTATAGACAAATCTTTACATTCTTGACTAGGAGAAAATATCTTGTTATGAAAAGTGTTTTTATATTACGTTCTAAACAAATAACAAATGGAGCAAGCAATTTTTTCCCGTTTTTAAATAAATAAAATAAAATGTATCGATTTTGTAGTAGGTACAAAGATAGTGTCGTGCTTAAATTTTAGCTCGAATTTTAGTAATTATGAATCCTTTAAAACAGAAACTTACTTTTAATCCAGTTACATATTTGAAAAATATGTAATTAAAGTACCCAAAGATTCACGTCATTCAAATAATCATACGTATTAAAAATAATTTAGGGACTTACCAAATAGCAAAATTCAGTCATTTTTAAACGCACAAGTACAAAATAAACTACATTTGCTCAAAATGTCCACCACCATTTTCCATGCACGCAGGACACCTTCGAATCCAATTTTCACGCACTCGCTGGAAATCACTTCAAGAAAAGGAAATAGTGATACGCAAGAAACACTCCCAACACGGTCGAATCCAGATACCAACTGAATTGAGTATTGGTGATTGCTAAACACCTTAGTACCTCGTGTTAATAAACCGCCGCGCCGTTGTCACATTGTTCGATATGGATTTTACGGAATTTTAAATTTATTACAACGCTAATTATTTTTTAGAATTAAGCATAAAGAAGTTCAAAAAAGTGATAAACATTGTATTTTATTGGTAGGTATTTTATGCACGCAGTTATGTCAATAATCCTTAATTAATCGAACTTTTGTACATCAAGTTGGAGACTGATAATTTTTTTCTCGGAAATGATTGAGTTTAGGACACATGTCACATAAAGTTTTTTTGTTTATTTTAATGTATTCTTTCGTCTGTTAAATTTAAGGCAGACAAACTTCTAACCTGTATTGGTAGAATTTATTTTAATTTACTATATCATCGTTTTTTAATAGTGACAATGTCACGAAAAAGTTGAAATAGCTAGTTACCCACTTACATATTAAATTCACCTGAATTTGGAGGGGCTAATATTAGCCCAGTCATTATAGACATGAAAGAGCCTGTTTCGGGAAAAAATACTATTAGAAGTTTCTCTATGGAATATTGTTCGGAAACCTGTTATAAATAAAATATCAAAAAATCAACTCGAGGCTAGTTGGGAAACTTTGTTTTAACAGTGGTCAAATTATGGAAAAGTGGTTTTTCGACTCACGTAAAAAAAAAAATATTCATAGCGAAAAAAAGTTTATACAAAAAAGGTAGGTATTGAATAAGCCTATAAAATGAGAAGAGTCCGATTGTTAAGACAGGTAATTATTATAAAATAACCTCTATACTTTAGTTTTCTTCGAATTTAAAAAAAAATCGTTGTTGTAAGTTGATTAGAAGCTGAGATAATTTTTTTTTTATTTAATCGCAGTGACCAATTATTAATATTAAGAGCCGAAATTTGGAGAGAGTATACAGTAAGAGCTATATTTTCATGTCCTACATTAACATTAAGGTGAATTCAACTATTTAANACCTTTGCACGCCACTGGCTAATCCGATAGGACTAATATTCTGTTAATTATGAGAACCCCCAATACGCAAAATGTGTACCAAGTTTGAATCAAATCTACTCGTGGATAGCCGAGATATGTCAAAAAGTGTTTATTTTTTTTTAACTTCAACGCCCTGTATCTCCAAAACAAAGGCTTTCATAAAAAAATTTTGTAGAGCAAACTACACTTAATTTTTGATAGGGAATATATTCCTGCGTTTTCCAAATTTAAAGTGAAAACACCCTGTATATTTTTTCTAATTTAAGGATGTTTTTAAGGAGTCATTGTGAAGATAAGTTGCGAAAAACTTCAAGTTCACAGAAGGTCCTGATTATACCACGTTGGTTTAATAAGGCCGAGAAAGAGTTTTTAAAAAGTCTAATGTTTTTAAAGGGATTGTCTCTTGTACTATTTGTTTAACTTTTGTGATCTCAAATTAATAAACTTTGTAGAAAACATGATTTTGTCTTTCTAAACAACAAAATATTCTATTTATTGCATATAGATAAGTTAAGTGGGCCTTATATGCCTCAAGTACCTTACATCTTCTAGCACGAGAGCTGTCTCTCGGACTAGGAATGATATTCTGCAATAAAATTCTTCAAATGCATATCATATATATTTATAGGATGCATAGCATATACGTAGAGACGTTATTTGTTGGAAGAATTCGTATGAATGGAGTAACGAAATCATCATCAACCTAAAGGAACACCACTTACAGCACGAATACTCTGTTAACGTGTATAGTGTGGAATAGTTGGGAACAATATCTTAGGACCTGTTCAAATTCCAGCTCAGCTAGCGTAATTAAACCTTCTGTCGCTGCAGTTTTCAGAAATTTTAGAAGCACCAATGCAAAGGCGTCAAAGAATGTGGTTCCTATTATATTATATAATATGGTGCACTAGTTTTCTCAACGTTGGATAGGTCGAATATGTGAATTTGGTGTGGCGTGGTGTGCTGTCCAGATTTAAATCCTCTGTACTTTTACTTTTGGGGACACATGGGATTTATGGTGGTGGTGTTCCTAATCTTAGGAAAGAACTCTGGGAGAAAGTTTAAATTGAAGGACAACAAATTAGAAACTATTATCGATCGCTTTCAGTTCTACAAAACTTTATTAAATTTTTATAGTTATTATAATCTTTGTGATATTGATTAGTTGTTTAGTTGGGTTAATTTTTTTTTATTCATAATATTCACTACTATTGTATTTTTCCTCTTTTGCAAAGATTCGTCGATTGTATGGTTGCCATGCATGGTGCATGATAATACGGTGCGAGGAATATGGAGAAATGAACACTGTTATTATTTTTCTAAAATATCTTCCAAATTGAGCATTTTTCTGAAATTTTAGAGATATACTTTTTTATGTAATTTAAATTTATCAATTGATTGCAAAAATAATTGTAAAATTATATCTTAAAAAAATTCAAAAATATCCTTTACGCTGTAAATTAAAATGGCTCCCCCTACATTATAACTCAAAATTGCTTGATCATTTTATTCTACGTCAATATTAACTCAACTACAACGAATTTCGTTACAATCGGTCGAATAATAAAGCATTATTAAAAAAATTAAAAATTGAAAATTTAATTTTGAATAATAATAATTATTATTATTATTATTATTTATTTAATCCATTGTGATCAAAAATGACATTGGACAGGTCAACACAAATATTTGTTACAAACAATAATGTAAAAACAATGAACAAAGATACAAACAAATAATGTACAATAACAACACAATAATACATAAATATAAAAAATGTATTACATTGTTACTAAGTAAATATGTCGGCTACTTTGTAAAAACATTTACTCACAAGGTAGTTCTTAAGTCTAGATTTAAGAGAATTTAGATTACTTTCAGTTTTTATATTTTCTGGTAATGCATTAATTAATTTTATACCCATGTAAGAAGGTGACTTTTCGTATAGACTTGTAGTGTGATTTGGAAGTTTTAATGAGTTACCATATCTGGTTTGATATTTATGAGAATCTGAACAGCGTTCATATCGTCTTATATTTTTGGCAACATGAATTACACATTTATATATATAAATACTAGGAAAAGTTAAAATATTATTATCAATAAAATATGGCCTACAGGATTCACCTTGGGAAATACCAAAAATTAAACGAATTATTCGTTTTTGAGAGATTAAAATTCTGTTGACACTATGAATATTAACATTACCCCAGACTATAACGTTATAAGACAAATGACAATAAATTGTTGAATAATATATGTTAAGAAGCTGTGGAGTATCAAACATTGTTCTAAGTTGCAAGAGTGTATAGTAACCGTAATTTATTTTTTTACATATATTATTAATCTGACTTTTCCAGCTCATATCACAGTTGATAAATGTTCCCAGAAACTTGCTTTGTTCTGATAACTCTATTATTTTATTATTCACCGCAACTCGAAGAGGTACATCAATTTTTCTACGAGCGCAAAATTGCATGCATATAGATTTTTCTGCATTTACGATTAGCGTGTTTCTATTATACCATTCCGTAAATTGGCCAGCTAAGGTATTTAGCGAATGTTACAGCTGCTCAGGACTATTTTCATAGACTACAAGAGTGACATCATCTGCATATAATATTGTACATTCAGTATTAAGGTTTGAGGGCAGGTCATTGATAAAAATTAGAAAAATGAGAGGACCAAGTATCGAGCCTTGTGGTACTCCTAGGCCAATGTTTTGAATAGTAGACATATTATTATTGAATTTAACATAAATTTTTCTATATTGTAGGTAAGATATTAACCACGCCAAAAAATTATCTCGAAAACCTACTGCTGACAATTTTTCCGACATAAAATTAAGATTTAGAGAATCAAACGCCTTCGATAGATTAAAAAATAATGCACCAACGTATTTATCTTTTTCAAGATGTTTATATATAAATTCGGTAAGATCAGAGCAAGCAGTTTCGGTCGATTTATTGGTACAATAATGTTTTTCTGGTGATTTTATTATCTGAACAGAAGTGGCTATATCCTTACCGTTTATTCTCCAAAACCCGCCACTGAAGAATGTAACATTCTTTTGCAGACACCCTGTATAAACGTATGATTCTACAGCCACAAACGGTAATTTCTTGTCACAACACGTAATCACGAAGATAAAAACAAAACTTCTATTTAGAACAAACACGTAAAATTTGAGAAACTACTAAATATGTAAGTTGTTTCAAATTATAAATGGTAATATTGAAAACGTTTAACATATGCATATATTTGTTATTTTATATGTATAGCTATGTGTCTACTCATACTTACACAAATATTTCATGAATATTCAAAAGATTAAAAATAAATTTCTGAAATATTTAAATTATCTAATAATTTATTATTTATTGACAACATTTATACTATTACTACTGATGTAAGAAACCTCTTTGGTGCTCGCCTAACATTTTTTAATGTTTTCAGTATTTACTAATTTTAACAATAAATTTGTTTTATACAAGATATTTAAAAAAACATGTGCGCTCAGTTCATTTGTGGGATAATTCAGCATCATAAGTTAAAATGAAAAACGAAGTGTATCAAACAACTTAAACAAAATTTGATTGTGAATAATTTAAACCGAATCCTAGATCAAACCCAAATTTCATTCAAGTTGTTAAAATAATACCAGAAATATATGAATAAACAAAAAAAATTAAACTAACACAACATACAAATGTCATGAGAAATCTGCTTTTATAAATGATGACATATTTTTTTAAATTCTCTATAATTTTGTCATATATGTTTCCCTTAATTATGAAAAATATTTTCTTTTGTACCCAGGCAAGTAGCAGCTTATAGTGTCGTAAACAAAGGGAGAGTTTTGTTAATCAGAATCCCCGTCCCTCATAACAAGTAGAGTAGTTTCAAAATCTCATGAGCCGCGAAATCCGCATAATTCTTCTAATAAGCTCACGTTGTGAAAACATTAACTCAGAATTAGACCACGTGCCTTATTACAACCAGAAATGAACTAAGGCGCTCGGGCATCAATAAAGTCAACTGGCGAACGTTCATTATATATATTTTTATTGCTTAAATTAAAATAATAAAGAATAGGGCATTTTCTGATATTTATAATCGGATCAAAGGCTTGTTTACGCTATGAGAGCTCTAGATAGACTGTATTATANCTTTTCCATAATTTTGACCATTGTTTTAACAAAGTTTCCCAACTAGTCTCGAGTTGATTTTTTGATATTTTGTTTATAACACGTTTCTGAACAATATTCCGCAGAGAAACTTCTAATAGTATTTTTTTTACGAAAAAAAGCTATAATGACTGGCCTATATATATATTTTAGAGCTTTTCATATTTATTTTACAGTATCTGTAATAAAATATAACTGAATATTTCTTGTTGTAAAAATTATTTATGAATAATTTTGTCAGCAACCCACAATACAATATAAAATTAGTTGCCTGCAATCACAGAATATATAGCTACGCTACATAGCTATTTATTCTGTGCTGCAATTTAAGATGTACACATAAAAACAACAATATTTAATAACTTTGTATTAGAAAACGTTTTATACCATAAAAAATGTCGAGTATAAAAACATATAGTATAAAAACAGTGCAAACCAGCCTTACAATAAATTAAATACATTAAAAAACTACATTAAGTACCTAAAACCTACTATATAAAATTACAATTAATAATAATCTAAGTTCCTTTTATTTTACTATGTATGAATGCTATTTTAACTGTTGCCTCAAATACCTCATTTTCCACATAAACTAATACTTTAAACACCTTCTTCTCTTTTATAGTCAATTTAGAACAAGCCACATTTATAATGATTTCTTCACCAGGTGCTATTATTCCTTCTTTCGGACAAATATCCAAACCTTCAGGATTAGAAACTACTTCAAAATGTATTCTCTTCTTACAATCAGATGTCAAAAACAAACTGTCCCTTATTTTTGTTGGTGGGGTAAGAATTATACTAGCCGGTTCCAGTTTGCAAGAGGCTTGAGCAGTAGTGGTCTCTAAGCACATCAAGGTACTGTCTTGACATAATGTGTGAAACATTCCCGTTTCGTCAGGATACTGAGGCATTATCGTAACTTCTGGATCTTGTTCTATAGTCATAACTACCTCGTTACGGGTAAACAATCTTAAAATGTCTTTTAAATTACCTGGAGCTTCCTTAAATAAATTGATGTCAGCAGGCATGACCTCTCCCTGGATTTTTTCTTTTAAAATGTTGCTTAGAGCATCGATTTCTAAACCTTTCTCTGCAGATTTGCGGCACTGTCTTCTCAACCTGCCTCTGTTTACTTCTGTACCAGATATTATAAGCAAATTACCTATTTCAGCTACCATGGCATTAGAAAACATAGACCTTTGTAAGACTTGATGATCCTCCATAGTTAAAACAAATGTAACAGTAATTTCTTTCTGCTCGTTTGGAATAAGAGTGGAGAAACTAGGTGTTACGGTCACATTAGCAAAACCAAATAAGTCTTTAGGATTAAATACAATATAAGCAAAGCAGGGTAATGTTCCACTATTTTTTATAACAAAGTTGTGTGATATTACATTGCGATTATCCAGTTTTCCTAAACTTAACCAAAATTTACCAGTCATGTCTTTAGTTAAATTGAGGATGTTAACTTTGCCGAAACCTCCATATCCAAACAGCATCACAGACTGTTTCTTGGTTTGTTGTAAATTAGGATCTACTGACGTAAAACTTAATTGATCCACAGCAGCTCCAATTTTTGTTGGAATAAACGAAACAATTATGGCTCTGGACTCATATGGATGCAGCAAAATTTTAGCCGAACTAAGAGGGTCACTGTCTTGACGATTTTCTTTCCTAATTTTAAAATCGTATCCTGTAATAGACATTTGTAAGCATAATCGTTTTGGAGCCTTATTTCTAAGTAAAAACTCTTGTGTTACACATTTATCCACTTTGACACAACCCCATATGAGTTCCATTTTGGTACTTTCTATCGGAAGTTTACCATGTGGTAAGTTTGTTAAGGCACTTGATAAACTTCTTGTGGAACCTGCTGAAAGTGGTCTATTGTTAGACTGAGAAGAACACCCAATGTCTTCTTTTATATCTTCGAGTACATCTTGAGGAATGTTGTAAGTGTCGATATTTTCCTTATCAGCTACAATTTGTCTCATCACTTCATTGTCTGAATAATTACTAGTATAGGAAGAGTTTTTACTAACAGGTAGTGATGGCTGATCAATTAAATTTTCACTCAGTTTCTGCCCTTGCTTGAAAAGGTAACTAGTAACCTTCCGTGGAGTATCATCGGTTTCAATCAACAGTTTGTTAATAGCGGAAATGCTTAAACTTTTTCTGTTTTTCTCATTATCTTCTTCTGTAAAGCTAATTGAAGAATCTATTAGTGGTATAGGATTTTTTGATTTTACAGGACTGAGAGCCATCTTGAAGTCTGAGAGTGTATCAGACCTTTGCTGAAAGAATGCTCCTACTGAAACTTTACCATCAGATATATCTTCATTTGATACTTGAGAAAAATTATTTACAAGTGGCATTTCATTTTGTCTCCTCCATGACATCTCATCTGCAAGTAACATAGAGGCTGCTTCTTCTGCAGGGCTGAAAAGTTGACTGTCTATCTGAGGAACTTTATTTACACTATTCATAGTTTTCTGAAATTCCTTAACAAAACTGTCTAAACTGATATCAGTGTTTCCAATTTGATATGAAAGTTGAGCAATAGATTGTCCCAAGCTTAGCCGTGATAAACTATTTTCAGCTGAATTACTTGACGCTACTGATGCTCTTGGAGTAGAAGTATTTTTTGGCGTCTTTTGCGGCGATTTCATTAAATCACTTTCACTAATTGTACTATCATTTACAGTAACGTTAGAAATTGAAGAACTGCTTATATTAGGCCTCAAATACTTTGAAGGCAATCCAGCTACTTTATTAGCTCTTTGTAAGGAACTGTTTGCAAGCAGACGTTGTTGCTTTAACAGGTAACTTAGATCTGATGAGCTTATACTGTGAATTTGATCTTCAGAGATATTTTGCAAACTGTCAACGTTTATTATACCTAGAGAGTTCTCAAAATCCATATTGACAGGGACTATTCTCTTCTGAAACGATTTTTTGTCAACTGTTGAACAAGCTGTCGGTTTTGGAGTATTTAATACAGTCTTGTCCACAAATTCAGTCTTATCATTATCCATAGTTACGTGGAATATCTTCTTGTACACTACGCAATTAATTACAATTCACCTTAAAATATTAAAAAAAATTTTTTATTTGATTTTTTTTCAAGCAAACTTGTAACGAAATTATCATTTTGAATTTGACACTTCTGTCGTATACTTCTAGTGATTTTTTGCAAAGAAAGTTGGGTTGGTACTGCTTTTTTTTTACAACCCCTGAATATAAATACAACCTAGACTGCGTCGATTGCATAAAGTCGGTGACTGCGAAATCATGGCCAATCCAAATGGTCCACAATTTTCCTTCCTTGCCACTTAATGCCAGGATCAAGAAACGAAGACAACGACCCACACACACATACACACCCCCACCATACCCTCCTTACCCCTCCCCGCGCAAGCCTAAAGGCCATCTTAGCAAAGCGCATACCAGGCTGCATAGTCGCACTACCGTACCCAACCATAAACATGACATCACCCCCGGGGTTTACACAGACGAGCCGGAGAAGCAAGAAGAGCGCCAGAAGAAAGGGCCCTAGCCGGCGGGGCCTAGCCAGGACAAAAGGAGGTCCCACAAAGCACCTACACCGGCCGCGTTTGCGGTCGGGGTAGAGGACGGATGGGGCCCACCTACGAAGGCTGTCCAGGCCTACACGAGATGAGGCAGGATAAAGAGGGATAATCCCCCTCGATCCCAAATCATTGAGGCCAATTTCTAGCCATAGAATA